GATTATAAATTATTGAAACTATTAAACATCTCACATTAAAAAAGAATTCGTTGGCGTAAAGTTTTGTTACACAAATATGTAAATAATCATAAAATCATATGAGTAAAAACCTCTTTTTAATAAATATTCATATTAAAAGTGTGCGATATATCTATGTTAATATCATTTAAATTTAATTATATATATCATATACGATATATAAGATTGATTGTTTTTATTTATGTACCTTAATTGCGATAAACAAGAGTGATCGTTAGATTTATATAAATACGCCAATTTATTACATAATAGTAACTGATTTCTTAGTTATTTAATATATATACTTATTATTTTATTATTTCATAATATTCAGAAAATATAAAAAATAAAAAATAAAAAATACTTATTGTGCATAAAGTGCAGATCTTAACCTAAGTATGTATTTTTTTAGTTATTTTAAATCTTAAGCATTTTCTAAGTCTCAGGCCAAAACAAACAAATGAAATGATAATAAAATTCAAAATAAATATTTATATCGAGTAATAACCAAAATAAAAAACACAAAAAAAGAAAAGTATTGAAGATATATAGTATTGACACAAGAATGTAAATTTCTCATAACCATAATTAATTTTTAAATTGTTAAATCATGATCTAAAACTGAGTTAATTTTTAATTTGTTATTTTTTTTTTTAATTTTTAATTTTTAAATCATTATGGTTATATTCAATCATGACCATAATTAATTTTGAATTTTGAATTTTATTTGAAAAACTTAAAATATTGTTTTTTAAATAATTGTATTTTTTTCTAAATAATTTAAAATTTAGATTAATTTTTTTAGAAAATATTTGCATTCTTTAAAAAATATAATTTTCTGCTTTTATTAGACAAATAAATAAATTATATTAAATTAGTTTTGAAACTTTATATATTCTAAATGCAAATATTATACCAACTGTTTCTTAAGAAAGCGTTAGGAAATTTGCTAATACTCTATCAATCAAGCCCTGTGTCACTTTGTTTATTTTCCATCCCTTGAACAATGAAAAGTGAAAAGATATATGAAATCAGACCCATTAAATTCTAAGTTTTGATATATAGTTCTAATTACAATTGTTTCTGATCCTACGTATAGTTAATTATATAAAATTTTCAAAATTCTAAATATATATAAAAACAATCATATATAAATTTTAAATTTGTCAATACTAAAATTTATGTTTTAATTACATACATATATCATGTGCATTGCGCATGTCTTATCCTAGTCAAACTGGACATAATGTTTAGTTAATTATCATTGTTTTTATTTGGATTTCTAAACCCAAACTTCTTTTTCTAAATCCAAATTTGAAAAGAAACAAATACGAAAATCTGATATTATATATAATCACTAATTTAAATATATATATATATATATTTAAATAAATTTTAATTAAATAATTAATTTAATTTATGACACCGGTTTTAAAAATTTTCTGGATCCGCCACTGGAAACATCTGCTGTTGAACCGTAGCGGCTGGAGCGGTTGTAGTCTCCTCCATAACCAATGTTCCGGTCGCTTCAGAAGGAGCAGCAGCAGCAGCAGCGGTTGTAGTCTCCATCTCTGGCAACTGCCGGTAGTCTGAGATGACTCTTTGCACACCGAAGTTTGATGGCCATACCTCAGGATTGGTGTCGTAAGGGCTGTAGATGATGGCACATGCGTTGATACCACATAGAGTTGAGAGCTCGTTCACTTTCTTTAGCAAACCTTTCTTTCTCTTTTAAAGGTTGCTTTTCTTGAAGAATCATTGGCAATGAAAGCAAGTTTTACCTTCTTCCTTGTCATGATAGCTTTTCTTCTAGTGTGTTTTGTTTTGTGTGTATTAATATTGAGTGTGTCTTATATAGTAGGTGATAGAGGAGTACAAACGATTTTCTCTCTTAATTAGAGATATTTTTTTTTTCTTACTATTAGCTGGTCAACAAATACAGAATACTAGATGATACCGCGCGCATGCACGAGGTGATTTTTTATATTAATATTTGTTCGGTTTTAACATTTAGTAACACTATAATCTTTATCGATTGTAAAATAGCGAATACAAATGTTGATCTCTTATATATATCATATGTCTGGGCATTCGGGGATCCGTCGGTTTTGGTTTGATTGATTCGAGTTTTCTAATCTTTGGTATTATGCTTTTCAGACCCATTCAAGTTTCACTAATTATTCGATCGGTTTCGGTTCGGATCCTTCCGGATTCGTTTTGGATCGGATTGTAACCAAAATCTGAAATCGTCCCAAAAATATGTTTGGAACCTTAAAATTGACCAAACAATTGTCAAAATATTAAATTATTCGTAAATCTAATTTAAAATTAGTTAAACTATCTAAACTAACTAAATGATATTCAAAATAAAAAATAAAACAAACTACACAAAAAAATTTCGAATACAATAAAATATCTAGATTACCTTAATATATATAAAAAAATTATAATATATTAATTTCAGATATCTTCGAACCTAGTTCGGCTTTTGGTTTGGTCCATATTATAACCAAATCTTAAAATACTAAGATTATAAATCTTGTTCGGATAAACTATAATAGCTACATTGGGTATTATAGAGAAATAAATGTTAGCTGAATGATCAAATCTCTCATTCTTCGAACAAACTCAAAATGATGTGACTGGACTTGTCATGATATTTCATTAAAAGATCTTTAGAAATAAATATCAAGATTAAATTATTTAATTTGAATGAAATAATACATATATATATATATATATATTTCTTCCACTATTAAAAATCACTTCGATTTGAAGAAGTGTAATTACCGGACTGTCAGGATCAAAGAAAATATTAGAAACTAACTATTTAAAAATTAATTTGTATATATTAGAGTAAGCACATAAACCAAAACTAATACATTTTGTTAATTTACAATCATGTTTTTGGTAAATAAATCAAAACAACCATGTTATTTACTTTATATTGTATATAATTAAAGGTTATATATATATATTATATTTAATTTTTATTTATTATTGACACTTCTTACTCATATAATTTAATTAACATTTGTATATTTTTCTCTAACAAAAATTTAGATAAATCACAAATATTTTATTGTGAGATTGTTCCAATACGAATTTCAAAATGAAAATATTAAAATCTCAACAAATTTTTACTTCAAATTTTGAATTTAACATATTTATATATTTTATATAGTATATAATTTAATTTAAAGGATATATATATATATATATATTTAATATGAATATCTATTACTGAGACTTCATATTCATGCGATTTATAATCATTTGTATCCTTTTTGAACAAAAAAAGTTAAACCATTGATCACAAATTTTCAATGTGAGAGTTTTACTATTTTTAGAAATTTATAGTCGTTTCAAAAAAAAAATCTAAGTATAACATATAGAAAAAGAATCTAATATTTTATTATCTGCTTAATTTGGTTTTTTTTTCAATTATTTTTAATAAGATAAAATTAAAAAAAAAAAGAAAAAGGATACAAAATATTGTTATCAAATATGTATTATTCATACTACATGTTAATAATATTAGTTAATTATGTAGGCTTTATTTAAGGAAAGAAAAATATGATTTTATACACTAATAACTAAGTTGATAGTTAGTTTAATAAAAAGTATAATATATAAATATGTGGACCAACTTACTTTTATAAGGATTCTAAGAATTATCGTGGTGATGACACTACGAAAACATGTTGTAATGCTCTAGGATTGATATATAAGGGATTTCCATGTTTTTATAGCAAAAAAATAAAACAATTGTTCACAAAATTTTCATTATAAGACCTTTAACAGTTTTAGTAATGTATAGTGGTTTTATAAAATTTAAATTATAAAATAAAAGAAAAAATAAGTTTTATTGTTATATGGTTAATTTGATTTTTTAATTTTTAATAATATAAATTAAAAAAATGATGGAGGATACAAAAACTATGATCAAATATTTATTATTTAAATTCGTTAATTATCATATATATGTTAATCCTATTTGGTAATTCCGTAGATTTTAATTAAAGAAATAATGAAAAATATTTTTTATGCACTACAAATCATTTTGATAGTTAATTTAATAAAAAAATATACTTTATATTTAGATGGACCAATATACTTTTCTGTGGATTCTAAGAGTGATCCTAGTAATGACACGTTGGTACACTTAAATGTTATAATGCTCCAAGATTAATATATAAGGGATTAATTAAAAATATAAAATCGTGAATCTATGTAGTAATAAAATTATATTGACAAAAAGTTATATAATTATGCTCCAGGTTAATTTTATTACATTTTACATCAAAACATTTCATATCCAGAATAGTACTCTATTAATAGTTTAAATTTTGAAAATTACATCTTTTTTTTTCTTTTTAATTTTTGAAAACTACACTTATTCTATGTTAAAATGTCCATGTATCATCTGATCGATATAAGATTAGTAGAGGGATGAATCAAACTAGTATCTGCTAAGTTATTGATAGAATGGATTTGGTTACTCGACTAGGATAAAATATATAAAGTACCTCTGAAATTAACACTTGTTTGATGTGGTTGCAACACAGAAAAGGTGATAATAATAAGTTAGAATTTTTTTGAGTCTCTGCTATCCAAACCTTTTCCACATGATTATCCTTGTTTCGTTTGAGGACAAGCAAAATGTTAAGTATGAGGGAGTGATAGGTCCCATTATTTACCACTTTTAGAGCATGTTATAGGTCCTATTTAGAGCATGTTATATGTGTATATGATGTGTTTTACAGTCTTTTCATGTTCAGATACATTTTGAAGCATTGTAAAGATTATGAGATTTTCTGGAGCTCAAAGAGAGATTAATCCCATAGCTGATCATATTCAGCTAAATACGAGTCGAAGACAAAGTCTAGCGTCGATCGATGACACACTCATGCCGTCGATCGACAGTCAGTCGACATACGGAAGCCCAATCCACAAGGCAGCTGACTGGAAGCCAAGTCACACAAATTACAAGATTACTCATGGACGAGTCTTACCTAGTTTATATACTCTTTTTCGGTGTTTTATGCAATGGGAGGATTTTTACAGCTTTTATACTTTTCATTGCAAACATAGTAGTTTAGTGTTTTTGGGGAAAAGATCAAGACTCCTTCAAGTTTTGTATTGGAGCCCCGTTTTTCTATCCCTAATCTTATCCAGTATTTTATGTTATTGATTATGTTCTGCTTAGCTATGTCTTAGTAGTCACCTTGTTAGATTTAAGGTTTATTAATGGTTTTGACAGATAAGCCAAACAAAAGAATTATTAGGGAGATTATTAGATCTATCATCAGATTTTGTTTATTGTTTTATTGCCGATCTGAAATTTACCGATCTGAAATTCACAACAAGAAAATAGGCAAAATCCGAAGACCATTTTCGTCGGAATATAACTGTTCCGACAAAAATGGTCGTGGGAATGGTTTCTTCGAGAAAAAAAATTCGTTGGAATTTCATCTCAAATTCTGACGAATATCTGAGGGATACCGACTGATAAGTTTCCGACGGATCCCGATGAGACCTATCATCGGGAACATTTCGTCAGTAATTTGTCAGAAACTTTTTTCCAACAAAAGTCGTCATCGGAAAAAGATTTCAATGAAATCTTGACGACATTTGTGGTCAAAATTTTTCGAGAACATACGTCATCGGAAATAGCAGACAAAATCAATATCGTTGGAAATTTCCTATGGACTCACGTTCGTCAGAAATTTTCGACAGTCTAATTTTCGTCGAAAATTTCCAACAGACTAATTTTCGTCGAAAATTTCTGACGGAATTATGTTTGTTGTAAAGTTCTGACGGACTTAGATTTGTATTTTTGAATTATTTTATTTAAATCCATAAAAACTGAAATTAAAAAATATAATTATAGAAATAAATTTACATAAATTAAAACAATATTTTAAAGTTTTCAATTAAAAAAAACTAAAATTCATTAGGAAATAAACGCTTCATCTTGTCTAATATCTCTTGACTGGACTTCTTTTGATCTGCCTGTTCAGCAAGAATTGAAGCGTTCTGTGTCTTCAACGCTACAATCCGCCGATCTTTGTTCTGCAGCTACTCCATAATCATGGGATCAGCGTATGGGGTTTGTGAAGAAGAAGGACACAAAAAGGCACGACAAGGAAAACGGACCAAACGTCCTTTCTTCTTTTAAGCCACCTATAAAAAATAAATTAAATCAAATATTTATAAAAAAATTAAATAATAATGAAATAAAAAGTTAAAAAATTACATGTTCCACCATTTCTTTAATTCGTAGTCGGGAAAAATTGGTGGAAGCTGCTAAGGAATCATCATCAGAGATTGGCTAAGAAGCTATAAATGCTTCTTTTTTTTGTTTGCACCAGCTTTACGAACTCTCTTATAACGGGATCGTGAATTTCACTGTGTTCTTGTTAGTGTATGCCTCCCTCGTGACAACGAGATAATCAACGGGATTATCGGCATTTGCTTCAACTTAAAAAAAAAAAATTAATCAACAAATATATAAAAAGTCATTTTTGTAAAATATATATAACTTACAAGCTGATCCTCCTTAGAAGACATACTGCAAGCCTCGAGGTTGTGGACATAAACACATTTCCCGCCACGATTGCTGTAGTGGTTAGCTGAGTTTTTGAGGGATTTATCTATAGTCGTCTGCTTCTACCAATGCACCTGCAACTCTTGCCAAACTATGGCGTTGATAAATTTTAGTCGCTTGCTCTTGAGCTGCTTCCACTCATAGATATGCTTCGTATAAGACTCCATGACCTTCTCGTGGAAAGTC